GGACTCAAGTTGTAGGGCCTGGGGGGAACATAAGGGTCAGGTGGAGTCATGGGCCCCAAACAGAGATGAAAGGTTGGGTCTCAGGTTGTAGAGTGTGAGGGGAACAGGGAGATCAGGTGGAGCTGTGGGGCCTGAGTAGGGGAGAGGGACTGGATCTGGGGTTGTGGTCTCTGAGCAGGAATAGGACTGGAGCAGTGGGGGTAGGGGAGAGAGGAACAAGGTACACTCTGGGGGTTAAAGTGTATTGGGCAGGAGCAGGATGGGATTAGGGCAGGGGCAGTGCAAAGGTGCCCTATGGTGTCCTGCAGACCTGCTGCTGGGAGAGGAGAGAGGTTTTCCTCAGAGCTGGGCACAGGCTCTGCTGGGATAAGGAGACAGTTCAGCAGAGACCTGAGCCTTGAGCAAATGATTCTTATGCCATGGGTGTGTGGGTACAGATCTTCACAGGTGCTGCAGGGTATAAAAATGTTGAATAAAATTATTAAGTAGCTTCTGCCAGCAGCAGCTCCTTGGGTGAAGCTCTGCTGTGGCATCAGCAGGTCTCAGCTGGTGTGGTTTGTTCTCCCCCCAGAACTACCCCCTGTACATCCGCAGTGTTCCCACCGAGAATGAGCTCAAGTTCCACTACACTGTGCACACTTCCCTGGATGTGGTGGACGAGAAGATCTCAGCCATGGGCAAAGCCCTTGTGGACCAGAGGGAGCTGTACCTGGGGCTCCTCTATCCCACTGAAGACTACAAGGTGTATCTTTCTCAAGCCTTTCACTAGGCTGTTGTGTATTTAATGAGCATAGAGCTGTTCTCTCCTGCTGGAACAGTGACTCCCACAGCTCTGTGGGTCATGGAATGGGTTGGGTGGGAAGAGACCTCGAAGCTCATCTCATTCTACCCCTTGCCATGGGCAGGAACACCTTCCCCTAGCCCAGGCTGATTTCAGGTTGTCATAAACTGGGTGTTCCTTTTGGAAGTCTCAGGTCAGTCCCACTGGCTGATATTAGATCTCCAGGTCCCTGTGGTTTCCCAGACAAGTCCTCCTTATGTCCTAGGCACAGCCAGAACCTCACAGAATATCGTGAGCTAGAAAGACCCACAAGGATCATCAAGTTCAACTCGTGCACAGACACCCCCAGCAACCCACCCTGTGTCTGAGAGCATCGTCCAAACACTCCTTGAGCTCTGTCAGGCTTGGGGCTGTGACCAGTGCCCTGGGAGTTGTTCCAGTGTCCAAACACCCTCTGGGGGAAGAACCTTTTCCTCATGTCCAACCTAAATCTCCCCTGACACAACTTCAGGCCATTCCCTCAGGTCTTGTCACTGTCACCAGAGCAGAGGTTGGTGCTGCCCCTCGTGAGGTTCCCTCATGTTCCCTCTCAGGTTGTCTCTGGGTGCATCTCAGTCTGGTTCTCCTGGCTTTGCCAGGCCCTGGAGTGTCAGAAGGACAATCCTTAACACCTGCTCAGCTATGGCTACGTGACCAACTCGAAGGTGAAGTTTGTCATGGTGGTGGATTCGTCCAACACAGCCCTTCGGGACAACGAGATCCGCAGTGTAAGTGCAGCAAACCAGGGCACAACTTCCCACCTCGCTGGCTCTGTGCCTTCCACAGATTCCTGAGGTGCTGAGAAGCAAAACTAATCAGTTAATGACCCTCCAATCCCTTTCCAGATGTTCAGAAAGCTTCACAACTCCTACACAGACATCATGTGTAACCCCTTCTACAACCCTGGTGACCGTATCAACTCCAGGTGAGTGACCCACACTGAGCTCTGCCTCTTGGGCACCTCTCTGGCACTTCCAGGGTACCTGGGACATAACAGGACCAACCCTGTGGTTCAGTTCAGGTGTGCAAGCTCTAAGTGCCTAAATGAGAACAGCTGCTGCTTCACAGAAAACTGATGTCTCAGAAAAAGTCACACTGAACTCTCAGTGCCTCCTCAGAACTGGGGTTAGAAACAAAGTCAAGAGAATTTATGTTTTGGGGAGAAATATTTGCCTGTTTTGTAGGTAAACAGGAAAACAGAGGTGAGTAATGGTAGGATTTGATGATCATAGAGGTCTTTTCTTACCTTAATGATTCTGAGCATTAAAATCCAGGTAAGTAGAGCAGGTTAGGGTGAACAACTGCACTTATTGGATAAGTTTATCCTTGTGTAGAGACACATAGCCATTCAGCACATGTAATTCCTCATGTGTGAGGGGGCCAGAGCCTCCCATTTCTTATTGTAATCTTACAGGGAATTCTAATATTGGGAGTTTCTATGGCCTAGGCAAGAACAACTTCATTTACACTGTGCAGAGGCAGCTCTGCAGCCAAGATAAAACTTCTCCTTACTTCAGCCTAACTAAAAGTCATTATTTACTCAACAGAACATGCTGCAAAGAGTCAAACCATGTATCCAGCCTGGACACAGCCAGGCAGAGGCAGTATGAGCCATTGGGTTTGTTACAAGAGCTTTGCTGTGCAGAACTGGATTATTCTTTCAATAACCTCTATTTATTTCCTTCTCCAGGGCCTTTGATAACATGGTGAACTCCATGATGATGCAGGTGTGCTGAACCCTCCTCATCCCACTGTTGGGAGCATCCTCTGTGTACAGGGCAGTGCCTGCAGTGATGTACATATTGTCTTCAGTCTGTGTCCTATGTTAAATGTATTCTCTGTAAAATAAACTTAATGCCTGCAAGGTTTGATGATCTGTGCTGGAACAAAGCTGAGTATAGCACAGAAGTCACTCTCCATGGAATCACAGAGTAGTTTGGGTTGAGCTTAAAGATCATGCAGTCTCACACCTTGCCATGGGCAGGGACACCTTCCACTAGCCCAGGTTGCTCCAAGCCCCATCCAACCTGGTTGTTTGGATTCTGATGTTCCTTGCAGAAGGAAGAGGAGCTGGAAAGGAGCCAAAGCTCCTCCTACTTCAGAAGAGCTGCTCTGGAGTACCAGCACTCGTGAGGAACACGTCACTGTCAACTCAGCTGCTGCAGTCTGGGCTGACCCACTGCTAACCTCTGGGCTGTCTCATGTGCAGCTGTGCTTGCTCTGAGCACAAGAGCAGCAGGAACTGCTGTTTTTACCCCAAAACCCAATTTTTACAGCATCATCTGACTTGCACAGGCACAGCTGCACAGAGTTCTGCAGGGAACTGAACTGAAGCTCAGCTTTTTTTCTCTGAAGGGAAACTGTGGCTGCCACATCCCTGGAAGTGTTCCAGGCCAGGTTGGATGGGGCTTGGAGGAACCTGGACTACTGGAACATGTCCCTGCCCATGGCAGGGGATGGAACTAGATGATCTTTCCAGCCCAAACCATCCTGTGCTTCTATGATCTTCCTGACATGATTTTTGGGTGACTCAGATTGCTGTTTCCACCTTACAGCTCACCCAGACACACTCCCCAGTGATTTAGGGTTGGACTCCATCTTTGAGGTCTCTCCCTGATTCCCAGCACAGGTAGTGCAGCTGGAACAAATCCACCCATGAGATTAAGCCATCAGGACTGCACAGCTGCCTGGCTCATCCCTAAACTAATCTCTATTAGCACCTCTTCCCCCTGCAGCTCTAATTAAAGACTCCCACATCAATACCAGGTATTTATATAGGAAAAGAAACCCAAACTGGCCTAGAAATGCATCCCAACTTCATCACTCTGAGTTCAGAGGTGATGCAAGCAGGAGTAAGCTCTGAGCAGCTACTCAGTGCTTCTCACACACCTCTAACTCCAAGTCTTTCCTGCCCCCCCAGAAGGTGCTTCAAGCACCTAATCAGTTAAAACCACATCAACCAGCTAAAAATAACAGAGCTGCACAGCTCCAAAGCATCCAAGGAGGCTACAGAAAGGCAGGGCAGGGCAGAGAGTCAGAACTACACACAAAGCTCACCCAGCATGATCATTTATTTTAAAAATAAGTGACAGTTACAATATTTTCCCAAACAGAATTGAAGAAAATTTCAGCAACAACAACCTGACCAAATCAGGGGAGGTGGAAGCCTGTCCCACCACCTCAACCAGGCACAGCTGTGCCCCAAAACTATATCTAAAACTCTTTATTCTTTTCACTCACAGAGCCCAAAGTAGTTTTTTATTAAAAATATAAGTCTCCAAAATGTACAAAACCTACCCAACAGAAGGTTTAAAGCCCTAGAAAAAGCCTGGCTTTACAGTCTAAGCCTAAGGGTTGCTCAAATCAAGGTCAGTCTCGGCAGCTCTGAGCACAAAAATCAACACAACACCAAGAGTTAAGGCCCCAAGCTTTAAAAAAATGCTAGAGATCTTCAAGGGAAAAAATACCTCAGTGGGATTTTTAGCCTGGCAATGCCCCCTGAGCTGTGAAAAGCTGCTTTAGGAGTCGGTTGCATCTGTTGCATCTGGGTTAGAGGGATCCTAACCAAAGATCCTGAAAGATTAGTGTGACAATTACATAATAAAAGCCATTTCCATGCAGAACTTCCCCCAGGAATGCTGTCTGCTGGGCTTTCCAGCCTGCCTCTTCCAACACAGGCTGGAACAACTTTTCTTTTCAAAGAGAGTCATTTCAGAGCTCACTAACACAAAACCAGCAGGAGAGGGAAGAGCCAGGAGCCTTGTGCCCTGGTCCTCAGCTCCTGGGGGCACTTTGGTGCTGAGCCTCCCTTTCAGCTGGGCTCACACCAGCCCCAAACAGGAATGGTGATGGGAGTAAAGAGGAAGGTTCAGACCAAATTTGCAGCAGTGGAGGTGATTTTGTAATGCCTAAACTCAAGTGATGAGTCGGCAGTGCCCTTTGATCCCTGTGGCTTTGGGGTAACAGCAGGAGGGAGGAGTTGCTGACTTCCAAAATAAAAAGGGGGAAGGGTTTTGTGCCACTCAGGTCTTGTTTAACTCCCACAGAGGCTTCCACTGCAACAGCTAGGGATGGTTTTGCCTCGCCCTAGGTGTTAAATATACAACAACAGCAACCTAAATCCAGACCCAAACCACATCAGGCTCCATCCTCTTCCCAAGAGGTCAGAAATCCACAGGGTTCCATGTAGAGCTGCAAACCAAGACTTTCTCCACTAATCTGGGGAAGAAAAGAGTCTTTGGAGAGGCCTTTAGTATCTTATGAGAGGAGAAGGCAACATCCAGCTGCTGCAGGAAGAGCAGAGGGAGCTGCAGGGCCCAGCAGTGAGGCAGGAGGACATCCAGATGCAAACCAAACCCTCCAGCACAGCTCTTTTCCATGGGATAAGGAGACTTGAAGGCCTGGGAGAACCCTTCCCTTCCCAGATCAGAGTGCTCTGTGCAATGAGTCTGTCTTTGATGCAGACAACTCCTGAGCAGAGCTGGGGTGAGGCAAGTCCCTCCTGGGATGCAGCAGGATGGAGCAGATCCCATGTCCCTCCCCAGTAATCCTCACAGCCAGGCAGATGGCATTTTTCAAATTAATCTGGTTTTTAGCTTGGATAGGCATATTTTTAACTCTCTGCAATCTCATCTCCTCCTTCCAGGCCTATTGGCACCACCAGGGCAGTCCAGTCCTCTCTAGTATGGGAAGTAGCAAGGCAGCAGCCTCGCCCGACCCCTAGACAGGAACAAAACAGCATCTTAAAGCACAGGGCACTGCTCCCTCAGCGTCCCAAGGCACAGGGCACTGCTCCTCACCCCTCCACAGGCTGGGATTCACCCTCCTGCACCCCTCAAAACCAGGGGAGCCCCCAAGCCAGGCACAGCTCTGGCACTGATCAGGCTGGGAGTGCACCACCCCCAAATCCCTCCAGGGACAGCAGTGAGTTTCCAGGTATTCCTTGCTGCTGGAAGCTTTTTCTCCATCCTCCCATCTATGCCAGGGTGGGAAGTGCAAAGCAGAGAAGCTGAGCATGGCCAGAGCAAGGGGCAGGTAACCCCACCCTGAGGACTCCCTGCTCCATACACAGCAAATCCCTGCCCAGGCACTCACCTGTACGTCCTCCCTCTCACCCTGGGGTGTTGCCCCCCATAGTAGCCTCCCCACTGGCCCAGCCCTCCCCGGGCTTGGTAGCGGCCACGGTAGCCTCCACGGTCAGTGGTGCTGATGCCAGGCATGTTGGTCCTCTTGGGCAGCACCTGGAAGGAGCACAGGGCTGTCAGCTTGCACCTGGGGCTGTGAGGGGTGGGTGCAGCACCCAGGGCCTCACCACCCAGCTCTCACCTTAATGACACGTCCCCTGAAAACACTCTCGTCCAGCTCCACCGCAGCCTTCACAGAACTCTTCTCTTCAAACTCAATGTAGGCATACCTGAGAGGGCACAGGGTGAGCAGAGCACCAGGGAACCCCCAGGACACCCTAACCCAGCCCCAGCATGCAGCACTGACCCTTTGGGATGCCCTGAGAACTTATCACAGAGGATGGTGACTCGGTTGATCTGCCCACAGCTGTTGAAGTGAGACTCCAACTCTTCTGCTGTGCCCCCGTAATCCACCTGCAACGACAGTCCCATCACCCCAGCTTGTGGGTCTGCAGTCATAGCACATCACAGGAGGCAAAGGACCCAGCTGGCCCCACTCACACCTCCCTACGAGTCCTCCAGCCTCCCAAATCCAAGAGACAGCCTCCTCTCCCTTGAGGGAACAAGCACCACACAACCCACAGCTTCCAGAGGGCATTTTGGAGAACTTACACTTGCAACAAATTGTTGCCAGTGGCTGAGAATCACTCACAGGCCACACTCCCAATCTGGGCTAGGCAGAGGAGAAGCATTTGGGATGGAACCAACCAGTCTTTGGTAGGAGATGAATGGGTTCCATGCTAGGGATCAGGGACATACATCCAGCTGGGCATGGAACAGTGGGAAGGCCTCTGCTCCAGGGCTCTTACATTGCCAACATAAATGGATCGTTGGTCAGCCTCCACCTTCTCATCAGTTGTCTTTGGGAAGAGACCTGTGGAGACAAGGAATGCTTTGTCATGGAGTGGCAGGAGCCCTATGGCAGAGGGACATAACAGCCACCACTGAACTGACACACTGCAAAGCACCTCAGATCCCTGGTCACATTCAGGTGTGCCCAAATCCCCACACTGATGCCTCCCCCTCCTTCATCCCCTTATCCCCTTTCTCTTCACAAAAACAACCCCACACAGTGACTCCTCTACTGGGACTATTGGCACTAAACTCAACTACATAATTGAACTCAATTGAACTAATTTATTGCCTCTCAGCCTGCACAGGTAGGAGGTAAGTGCAGATACAACCTGCATTAGCAACATGCTATGCCCTGGACCCCACCCTCACCCACCTGATGTGCCCAGAGAGGTAGAGCCATGTGCTTTGGCTCCAAGTGTCACCCTGAACCCCAGAGGAGTCTCTGGGGGGTCAGCAGCACCCAGAAATAGCACATACCTGCCTCTGAGCTCATGAGCAGGTGGCTCTCAGCTTCCAGCTGCAACCCCTTGAGCCTCTCATCCTCCTTCTCCATCTCCCGCAGTTTGGCTTTGATGGCCTCCAGCTCCTGAAGCCCAAAGCAAGACTTGCATGAGCAAAACAGGAGACAGGGACACCCCAGGTGTGGAAAGTTTCCCATTTCCTCAGAGCACCAAGGAAAAGTGGTTGCTCATCCAGCATGCACTCACCGGGTCCTGCACAGACAGCTCCTCTGCACTGTCCCCCTCCAGGTGGCTCAGGTCTGAGTCATCACCTGCTGCCTTCTGCATGGCTGACATTTGTGACATGTCCCAGGAGGCCTTCTCTGCTGCCAGGGATGGTGGGTTCTGCCACCAGATCTCTGAAGTGTCCAGGAAGAGAGGACTAGGCAGGACAAGGGAGAAAAAAAAAAAAAATCACATAGCTAACAAACCATGGAAGCTAAATCAGAACCTCAGCCAGGCAATGCTTTTCAAGGTATTTCCAGAAGGATGAACAGGTGTCACTAATGCAGCTAGGTCTCCATGCAGCAAGATCACACAACTGCAGGAATGAGGGCTACCAAAAGGTCTTCAGTTCATACTGAGCCACCTCCCAATTCAGGGGGCTGCAGAGAGGACCTGGAAGCAGCTTCCCTCAGGTGCACACTCCATAGCCAGCTGGTAAGGAAGAGGAAGAGAAGGCAGGGCCACGAGCACAGCTCATAGGCTGCACAGAGGGAGCAGCAGGGAGCTCTACCTAATCCAGCAAAGGGAGACCAGCACCCTCCTAGCACCAGGCTCTTGGTCTGAGCCCACAGAGGGACACACTCTCCCACCTGGGGGCACAAGTTCTCCCACCCAGGAAGGGTTTGGGGGGGGAGAGTGGACACAAGCTGTCCAACCAGAGTGGGTGGGACACCACCTCTCCCAACCATGAGCAGCAAACTGACCTTGCTGGAGCCCAGGA